TATGACTATCTAAATATATTATAAAATCAATTTTTATATTATATTTAACATAAACTCTTATGATGCATTAAGTAGATCATAGAATCATTATTGTCTAAAATAGCAGCATAGCAGACAGAAACTTCAAGACGCACGGAGATCACCAAAGTTAAGCCGCCTTGAGTAGGGTTAGTAGTTGGATGGGTTGACCGCTTGGTGTTATAGCAGTAAAATTATATACTGACATTTTTTTTTGCATTTTAATTATTTTTAGAGAATCGCGTAGGACCATATTAAATACTCTATCCGTAAAATTAACCCAATAATTAATTAGATGTGATAAATATATAATTAAACATTGTTATATATAATTATATATAGTTATATATAATTATATATAGTTATATATGATTATATATGATTATATTTGGCCATTTTTCATATATAATCATATATAACCAATTTATATATAAATATATATAATTATATATAAATATTTTTTCTCGGGAAGGTGCAATAAAACAATAAAATAGAGAAACTTACATCTAAAAATGACCATTCCACAGTAATAATGCAAACGTTTTATTATCGCGCTCTGATACGTAATTTGCGTGAAAAATTTTTTTTGTGAGATGTCATATTAGCGTCTCTTTTAAATTTGACGGGAAAAAATGAGTAGAAATGTATTTTTTGTTCTTTTTTAATGTAATTATTTTTATGCTTATAAAAAATAATGCTAAGATCAGACATTTTTTGTTTTTTTAAAAGCTTTTTTTATACAATAAAAAGTTTCGCGTCATTGTGTCAAAAAAATTTGTGTTAAATATTTAACCCAAAATTTTTTGACGCAATGACGAAAAATTTTTTACTGTGTATTAGCAAATTCATTTTTATGAAAAATGATAATTTTTTTTTTAAATTTGATTATCAATTTTTTAATTTATCTATAATTAGAACACATCAGAACATTTGATATGTCTATAATATGGCTTAATATAATTTTTTGAACGACCAGTGTTAAAAATCTCCAACAGGTAGCGCATGGTCGCTGAATCGTCTCCTAACAAGCGAGTTAAATTTGAGGTGGTAAGTAATAAAATGAAAATTATTCTTTTACTCTACTAAGGAGCTTATCTAACATTGTCTTTTAGTTTAATCGACTTATAAAAAGCTTAAAAAATTTCATAAAAAATTTCATAATTAAAATAGTAATAATAATTTCATCCAATACCTGTAAAATAGAATTACTATTTATTTTCTCTATATACTCAACAAGTATTTTAATATTCCAAAACACTCAGTAAATTTGATGAAACTAAAACCTTGACAGTTATTACGAACTTGGGATTTTATCCGGAAAACAAAGTTTAAAAGTACACTTACGTCCACCTGACATACATGATACACACATAAAATATAATTTATAGCAATAGTAATAATAATAGTTGTAAATCCAACTCTAAGGTTATTACGAATACCAAACCACATATGTAGCATTTACCGAGCCACAGAATATGAGAGCATAAAACATAATGTAATAACCCGATCTAATTTAGTATTTTCATCGCCCATCAGAGACATTATCATTTTAACATCCAGCTGTAATTAATAAATGTCTAAAAACATTGTAAAAGCAGCAAGAACATAATCTGCGTCTAATATCTCATAATCTGTGTCCCCCTTTCCCTTTTCTATACTACACCCAATAGCCTAATAACTAAGTCTCTTGTGTTTTCACCCCTGACATTTACAAGCCCATTTAATTCGAAAACTCGACGCTCGAGGCCAATAATCCCTACTGTCCAAATTTTTTTTATTTTTCTTACTGCAAACAGGAAAGAAAAATATTTTTGCCATCCAATAATATCAGATTGTTTAAAATTTTATAACATACATAAATATTTATCATAATATCATCTTTCTAAAAGTTTCGATGAATGGTACTTCTACATAATGTTATTATATGCATTGAATTACATAAACAAAAGATTCATCCACATATTCCTCCCTTTTGTTGTTGGTGCGCACGTATATTCAGCATATGCATATTATGCGAATGAAAATTATACAAATGGACTGAGTAATTACACTAACGAGATGAATAGTATATTTATTTCATCTGAAACACTGTTAAGTCAATGCAAAAAACATCTATTAATAACCCCAAGCTATTATTATACCAAAAGAGTAATGGATTTTATTATTTAAGAGTGATAAATTTTATTATTTGCGTCATCATTTAATTCTACAGCACACATGACAATCTAGTATTTTACGTATAGGTTTTTTTTATAAATTATTACTACATTATTATATAATATTGATTTATTAGACTTGACAAAAATTTATTTCCTCAAAAAAAACTATGAAAAATTCTGAAATTATTACTCTCAAAAATTATCGATTGTAACAAAATTTATTTATTATTTTTTTTTAATTAGTGAAATTACATCGGAAAATAAATTTCTTAAAGCGTTCAAGATAATTATTATTTTTTTTTGTTCTATTTCTATCTCTATTCTATGCTTGTCTGTAAATAAATGTGACATGAAAAAAATTTTTCATAATTAAACCCGAAGAAAAATTGTAAAATAAATAAAACTATAGCAAGTAATTTTTCTTTTGAATCTTGATCGTAAATCACGGTGAGTTTCTGTCAAGCGAAATAGACCTGCTGTTTTTTATTTAAATCTCGATTTCAAAAAACAAAAAAGACTGTTTATATATATATATATATATTTTTTTTTTTTCAAATGCATAGCTATTAATTCCAGATGCTTTATTCTCGATATAATACACATTGCGCCAGCTGGATTCTTGTGACATATTTTAATAATAGTAGAACCTGTGGGACGGAACTGACGTTGAAAGTGAGCAAGTGAATCAAAAATAAATTCTCAAATATACTGTGTGAGTTATTATGAAATGTAACTTTGTCTCGAATATCATGTCAGTGAAATATTTATGGATAAGGATTACTTTGCTGAAACAAATTGACTGAAAAAAAATTTAGTATTTAATTGTTTGTTAACCGGAAAGCCTTTACAGTTTGAATTTATCTGTCAAATTGGCCATACTTGTAAATTTGACATTTTCTTTTTTAATACGAAATTGTTTATCAATCCAATTTTTACATATTTATACCAGCAAATTTAACAGTTTTTTTTTTTGACAATATGACTTTATTAATTTTACCAAACCATTTCTGTAATTTTCACATATACTTTTTTCCGTGTAAGGATTATTCTATATGAAATTGATCCGAAGGGCTTTAGAGAGTAGAAGCATCTTTTAGTGAAATAGAACCAATAATTGAAATGTCACACCGAGTAGAAATAGATAAAAAAAAAACCATAAATAGAATTTGAAAATCGCAAATAAATTAACAAAAGTGGCAAAAAAAAATTTTAATAAAATATTTATATTGATTTTATTATTTTTAAAATTTTCCAATTAAAATTTTTCCACGTCTTATATTCTAGTCTAGATATTTTATTTTTAGCCTCGAGCTCCCATTGAAATTTACCCTTACTTATTATATTACATATTTTCAGGTATAATATATAGAAAAATTATTCCTCTGAAAAAATATTAACTGGGGTCGCTGCTATTGAAATGCCCGATAAATTATTCGAAAATTTTTTTCGAGATCTTTTCTTAAGCCCGGTATAATTTATTTTTATATTTTTAGTCATATGTCTTATGCTAAATTCTCTATTCTATCGATTTATGTTGTCAGATTTTTTTGAGGTAGTAAGCTACTTTTGAGCTAAAGTTTTCTGGAGAGGGATGAATAAATTTCTGTTTTTGATTCAATTATTAGTATTTATAATAAAAGTATTTATTGATTATCACAACATTGATTTATTTCAAAATTATTGTGATTGTGATAAAAACGTTTATTTTCAAAGCGATAGAAATTTAGCGGGTCATTAAAAGAACGCGTTTATACAAAGAGATAACAATATTGTCCATTATCGCATTATTTGAATCATTTACGAGCTTACCATGGTTGGAAGCAGTAAAAGTATATGGTAACTGTGTCAATAATTCACGAGAATATTTAAAAAAAATAAAAAAGTTAGGTGTTCGGTTATGCCAACTACTTATCAAGCTTTGATATTGCATAGGGTTCTTCATTAAAGTTTAATGACAGGGCTGAAAAAAAAAATAAGTCCTAAAATTGTATATATTTTTAGATTTCTCGACAACACCACCATATTCTGACAGTTATTTCCATTAAAGTTTAAAAAAAAATTTTAAAAACGGGTTTTTTTCACTAAAATTGATGATTAATTTACTAAGCAGTGTTTTTAATTGTTCAGTAATCATTCGTCTTGCCACCAGTGTAATTTTCTTTAACATTTGTACGAGGATTATGAATTAAAAATACAATTATTCTTGACGAGATAGGAAACTTGATTTTTAGGCCCCAGTTCGCGCTTGAGGCATATAATAAAAAAATTATTAACTATTTTAACTTGAATTTTTCTTCACATAACCATCCGCTTTAATAATATACATTTTCGAAATTCGCATGAGGATTACTCAAGACAATAATAAATTATCTCTCGAGTTTCTTTCAAAAAATTTACTGTTCTCAGTAAGTGATTAGAAAAAAAAAAAAAAGAAAAAAAGGTCAATTGGCTTATTCCGAAATGGAGATAAACTTTTTAATGCTCAATCTTTTTAATTTTTCGTGCTGTTAAGTTTTAATCATTATTTAGAAAGATACAAAAAAGTTATTGTTTATTTTCATCATAAAATAAGTAATTTTATTAGATAGAAATTGTTCCATTGTTCGAAGAGCTCAAAAACGTTATAAGTGCAATTTTAAGCGCTTAGATATGACATTATGGGGAAGTTGCAGGGATGGTCTTTAGGGTTAACCGTTTTTGAGATTTTTATTTTTCTAAAATCTCGAAGTAAAAGTCCGGCAAGAAATTCTAAAATGGGACATTTTGCGAAAAAAATTTTTTTTTATTGAACTTTGAAGTACATTAATAGTTGAAGAATATTTTTTAATCAAGATAACAGCAACAATTTGTTTTTATGTTGAACCAATCTCTTTCTCCCTCACCTATGTGTGATAAACACGCAAACGGATGGGTCATCCACTTCTGTACGCAAACTGTATTGATGTTTTTTGTTTCTATTGGAAGTATTTGACACGGAAGTCTTTCTTCGCTGTAAAATAAAAGTTTGAATTAATTCTTATTCAAGGTAGCCGTATCGCCAAATGCATTTTCTGAGAATTTTTTCAAATTTACTATGGAGCACCACTTGTACTCAACAAAAAGTAATAGATTTTAGTTCGAGATAGTTTAAGTATTTGACGTTTTCAACTTGATATATTCATATATTTTGTGATATTACCAGGAGGCTTTATAGATTATATCACTTCAAACATAAACAATTTTAAAGTAATTGAAAAAAATTTACTTGCAAACTTCAGCTTCGAACCATTGATACAAATCTGGGGATTGCAGAATGTATTTATTCTCTCCATTAATAGTCGTCCCCATTTCTGGAAAGTACCATGCTTTCTGTTGATGGAAAATTATTTTTTAGTATTAAACATTAAATACTGCCGGAAATTTCTCGGTGTTTTGATAATTCTTAAGAGTAAATTTTTAGCATACAAACCGACGAATCGCAGAGATTATACGAAGCTTTATTCCTAACAGATATTATACGCTGAGCTAACATCGTAGGCTGTGGACAAAAAAAAATACTCCTTTAATTATCTAACTGAAATATCAACCGGAAAAAATAAATAACTTACTTTTCTGTCACTTGCGAATCGTTTCAAGTAGCTCTTCTTCTTTATTACTTCTCTAACAACGTCTGTTGGATAATTTGGAGCATAATTACATAACGTATCTCCAATACATTCAGGAGGCATTACTGGCACGAACCTGTTATTTTGTGTTTTAGTTTGGTTGAATATACTAAATGTTAATTCTTCTGGGAGAACAACTTTCTGGGGACCGAGATCTTTTCGTTCTGGAAAAATAAGAAACCAAAGATCAGAATTTATTTTCTAGCCAATGAAAACAAACATTACAAAGATAGTTTTATCTAAATAATAGTAATTCGTGGGGTGGAGAAATTTATTTATCAATTCAAAGAACATTTGAGATAAATATTTATCACAATTCCAAATTCCTAGATAGAATAAATATAACCCAATTTAAAAGTAATTTAAATTTATCATAATTGAATAATTAAAATACTCTGAATGGCCACTTAACTATTTAACAATAATAATAAGGTTTACTCACTGTTATCGCGATTATTCCAATGTTTAAAATTCTCCTTATTAAAGAAACTTATCAACTCATTTGGATAATTATGCGATTTATTTTTAATATTATCGCTGCTATTATTGTTGTTGTTATTGTTTCCTCTGTAATGAAATTGATTAAGTCGATTGCGCGCAGTCTGCCTTGAATTCCCAATAAGTTGTTCACTTGGCTGGTTATTTTTTGAATCTACGAGCTTATCAGCAACGCGATCACCCACGTCCTCACTCGAATTTTTATTCTCGCGATCGACAGACGTTATCTCTCTAACAAGGCCACTTTTCTCAAGACTCTGAAACGTGATTGTACGTTCAATAGCTTGCAACTGATTTGGATAGCCCCTGATCATTCTGTTTACCTGAAAAAATTCTTTATTATTCACATTTATCGGCACCCCCTTATCACAACTATTATTATTATCACCATCGGAATCTGACGAATGCTTTTATTATTAATTTATAAATAATTCATATTATTTTTTCATCTCAAGAATAATTGTATCATTTGCAAAGTCGCCATTTCTCTTATCATATCCCTTTTCACAAATCAAAGAAACAGAATTAAAAATATTCATCAAATCCAATTACCCGATCGTGCATATTTTTCTTTTCATCGGTACTGACATTTATGGCCTTATAACGGTACAATCTAGCGGCATACATTCTCATCAATTCCTTTCGAATTAAAGAGACACATCTAAAAAATAGTCCAATTAAAAAATCTCTTGCGCCAAATAAATTGACCAATCATTCCCCCAATATATCATCTATTGTATCTCTTACATAACATGAAATCAAACTCCTAACAATGGATAAATCAATAGATTGAAGAGAAATTATAAATTAACGTTAATTAATTTCATTTTCATCAAGTCTAATATTTGGCTAGATCGTGTAACAGGCCGCTTTTAGCGCCACCTGTTAAGACGTTTTTTTTTATTGTTGATAATTTTATTTTTAATTTAAAATTTTAAAAGAAAATTTAAATTGAGCGCTAGAGTTAATTGTTGTCCATTGGTTGGATTCGCCGCGACCGAGTCGCCCTCGCGCGAGAAAATGCGACCGAAGCTCGATTGCGCGCGAAACAAAAATTTATTGCGATTAAGAATTTAATTTAGCAAATAAGTTAGTTTTAAGTAATTGTAAGAATGGTACTTATGACCGGTCACGAACCCGCGAAGGGAGACCAACGAGGATTATCGACGTGGATTCTCTACAAGATCATCGACGACGGGCGGATGGCTGTCTCGAGAACGAGCTGGAACGACGGACTTATAGGAACTCGAAGTGAGCAATCGACGCATGCGTGAAGGCGGAAAACTGGCTGTCGAACGCGTCAATGCTCCAGCCAATACATCACTCAAAACGTCGATATTGGGAAATTGGACTTGCGGCGCCATCTCTGGAGTTCAAAGCTAACGACGGACCCAGCAAAGAGGGGAGAGGCGAGTAATGCGACATGTGCTCAATTTTTCCTTCTTCCACGTTTCGATTTGCCGCGTGCAGACACGTTTTTCTATTCTGAAGAATTTGTTGGTTATTTTTTTTTATTGTCTGATTTTGAGATTTTTATTACAAAGAATAATTTGGAATTCTTGCGTTTGAAATCTGACGATTTCTTTTGAATTAGCCACGACGTAGTGTGCTATTTATTGATTATTGTGTTGATAATTGCGATTCTGTTTTTTGCCAAAAATTTATTACGGCATTATGACGATAATTGGCTGTCGCCAATTATTTATTTAATAAAAATTAAGCCAGCTCGACGACAATCGGCTATGGCTGTTTATTATTGATTGTAAGGTTTATAAATTAGACAAAAATACGACGTGTTCTTGAGTGATCGCTAATCGACGTGTACAGAAGTATTCTATGTCAACAAAAATGATCCGAGAAGAAATGACGAAGTTATGTCCAAAACACATTTTTTTCGGTTTTCTTTCGTTCACGCTATCTCTCGAACGAGTTATTTGGTGAGACTTTTGTCTGCCTCCTTTCGAACAGGCCGTTTCTTGGCTTAAAAAAGCTATACACGCACTTAAAATAAAACCCAAATCTCACCAAAACAAAAGCACTGTCAACTCGCCGGGCAAGGAAAAACCCTGCCCTCCAGCTTTTACGCTATCACTGGACAGAATGTGAATGGAGTTGTATTTAATTTAATGTCAATCTGTCCTCGTAATTGTTCACTGTATCAAACCTCCTCTATACAACTCCATTCAACGACTACGTTGGCCTGGCCGGTAATATAATGACAATCCGACCAGTTGCCCAGCGGGGCCTATGCGGGGAGGTGTAGCCGTAAGGCCTGTTGAGCTATAATATTTAGTTATCCCTGTATGTGTCTCGTTCGTTTGTTACTTGTCTACCGTCATCCCCATAATCTTTGAGCATACCTGCGTTGCCAAATGCTTTGACAATCGACGTGTACAATTGACAAAAGGTCAGCAAGTGTCCTCACCAAGGAGTTTACTGTCCAAACTAGTCGACGTGGAAGCCGAGTACGACCTGGTGCGGCCAATCGACGGACAACGTAGATTTACGTCTTCGACCAGGGTGAGTGCCACGGTTTTCTTAAATAAATAGCTCGTGGGATTTATTTGGATAAAGTAATTTTTTTTAATTATTCGTAATTAAATTTGTCGTGCTTGGTGTGACACATCGCCAAGGAATTTCAAGGTTGCTTTGAGTCAACCAATAATACAATAATCCCACGAGGTATTTCGGTACCGCCGATGTTAGTTTAGTAAGATTGTATGAAACTAGTGTTGATATTATTATTAGTATCATTGTTATCTAATTTCGACGTTACTATGATTATCGGCTGTGTGAGACTTAGTAATGAGTGATTATTTTTTTTTGACGCTAAATGATTGAATTAGACTGAGTATCATTATTTAATTAATTATTTAAATCCGGCGAATTAAACAGAAATTAATTTATTTGTTTAATCTTTAATTAATTTTATAATTAATTAAAAACGGCGAATGTAATAATTTACTATAGAATTTAATTATTATTTAAATGTGAAGAATGAATTTTTTTTTATTATTGAACTAAATTCGGCGGAGATTTAGAAAGTTAAATTTGAATTAATTATTATTGATTAAATTGTTGGCAAATTGATTATCAGAGTTAATCATTTAATTAATTGCTATTAATTAAATCGAGCGAAGTTATATTTTTTTTTTGGGTAATTAACGGAAGTTAGCTGAATTGAGCGACGATTTACGAAAAAATTTTTTTTTGTTAATTAAAAAATAACTGACTTGAGCGCCGATTGATGTTTGATTATTTTAATTAATGGTTATTAATTGAATTTCGAGGACGTTATTCTATTGTATTATGATTTAATTGATTATTATCAATTAAATTAAGCGAAGATTTAATTTTTTTTCTCTGTTTATCTATTATTTAGTTAATTAATTGCGATTGAGTGAATTGCGTGATAATTTAATTGTTTTCTGTCGTTAACTGATTAAACTAACTGAGTGAGCGACAATAAAAATTTCGTATTTGAGACTGTTGATTGAAATTTACCGGAGTATTTTTTTTTTTGAAATTTTTGAAGTTTGTTTTTCTGCGAAAACTGCGTACCGACGTTAAAATTGAACAACTATTTGAATTTATTGTTAATAAATTAATAATTTATTTTTTTTATTAATTGCGAATTAAGGCGAGTAGCCCCGAATACTTTCCTCGTTCCTCTATAATTAAGTCGTACCCTTAAGCCGGACATCGACGTGATTGGAGCAAAGCTCCTGGCGCCCAACAACAGGTAAAGCAGGTAGGCCAAATTATTTATTTCGGGCTTCGTTCTCGCTAACGCACGAGTACGAAAATACCCGTTATAATCGATAAAAGGAATTTTGCAATTGTTTCCAAGTTTATAGACTCATAGCGTCTAGGTGAAACGGAATCTTTTTTTACACGCTCAATAAAACTATATTTAATGACCGAAAAAGTGTGAAATAGTCAGTAATGTTTACTCATCTAAATACATACAACGCACTTGTCCTTTATCAGTCAAATCTAACTATTTATTACCGATATCAATTACATGTTGTCAATTGAAATTAAACACAATTAATCTCATAATAATTCATTATGTTTATCAATGACGTTTTTCATTTTTTTTTTTTAGTTCTAGAAGATTATGTGGATAAATATAATCGCGCAATGATTAATTTTTGAATCTTTCAACACGGCCGCAATTTTTGTTGAATGTTCGTTGTTAAACTACTCGACTTATTTAAAAAATTTTCATTACTAATGAATGATAGATTTGCAATATCGAAAATATATATCATACATTATTGAAAATTGTAACTTTTTTACCTATTTGTTCTAATTAAAATAAAAACAAAATTCGTTAGCAGAAAGTTATTACCTCAAGAATACAAAGAATAAACAACGAAATTCGCGACACCATCATTTTATCAAACAATCAATTAATAAAAGTAAAATTATTTTATTCACACCAATTTTCCACGATCAGTAAATATTATATAACAAATAATTAATTATGTTGAGTTTTATAATTAGTTTAACATAAGTGATAATGATAAAGCAGGTGATACGCACGCGTTGAAGCTTACTCGGTTACTGCTCACATGTTCAGAAGATCAAGGTATATATAGTAAATTTTCGGTTGGTATTGCTGTTACATTGTGTACTGGCTTTTTACGTAGGATCACCTCATTAATCTTATACTATTCATACGTTGTTTTTTTGTGAAGCTTATAATTTGACAGTCAAATTTTTTTTTATTTATTTATTTAAACTTCAAATGCCAATCGGCAATAAACAAAAAATTAACAATATTATAAATTAAACCAAAATTTCAGATTAATTCACCACACCGTTTTTGAGTAATTAATTTTCGAAATCGCATCTTTTACACGTAGAGGTATAGAGAGATGGTTAAGTTAATATGAAATCTATTTACATCACTCGATTAGTACGGAAGATTTCATTTTCTTAGTCAGTAGGAGACTTACAATCTCTAGAGGACTTGGTATCTCTTTTATGAACCAAGGATTGGGGTGGCTTGAGAAAGAAACTAATAGTCTTATATTGAGGTCCAACGGTGAATCACTAATTTTGAAAATTATTAATTTACATAATGGCAAGTGGAACATAGATTTTTTTTAATTTTCCGAACCGTAACAGGCATGAAGCACTAAAAGCGACTCTATAAAAATATTTTAAATAAGTACATTGTCAAAAATGGCTTGTTTCTTGAAACAATCCTAAAAATTTGAAAAAAAAATGGGTTGTTCATTTTGTTATACAATAATTATTTATTAGTTTAAAATCATAAATTAAAATTTTACAGCATTAATAAATACAATTTCATACAAATTATCATATCACAATAATAAATAAATTTTTCTAATATCAAAATACCAAACGCTTTCCTTCTATCAAATGCGTTTTATTATATCAACTAATCTGTCTACCATCATCCGACTATTTTAATCGCTTAAAAGCATACCGTGGTAGAGACTAATAAAAGTTTAGTGCAACAGTATTACCGTCCGCATTAAAAACACCGTGTGTTTTTGAATTTCACTTTACTTGGATTGCTCCTTCTAATGATAATAAACCTTGAAAAAATTTGCTATTATGTCTACACATAATTTCTGACATGTCTTAACACACCCACATAGGACATTTTAGTTAAATTTTTCAAAACTACTTGTCAAAATTTTGGAACAACCGAAGAGCTTTTCATCGATTGATTCAAAAATTGAAACGATCACAAGCTTTCAACTATAATAATAGTTTTTATAAAAGTATCTATCATCCATTATAAAAACCTATTTATTACGAAATAATAAATTAATTAGTGCGATTTGTCGTGGTAGAGGCAGCTACAACTCGACTTTACATTGAACCAACTTTCTTCTACTTCACCCTTATGTGATAAATTGACAAATTTACGCTTACTAAACTTCTGCACACAAGTTGAAGGGTAAACACCTAGTCGCCAGGGAAAAAAGTAATTGCATGATTCATTTTCCTGCCTGTAAAATATCAAAAAATAAATATTATTCATTTTTCTTTTCCTCAAAACAAGTAAGGAAAAAATTTGAAACTGTCGATAGAAGTTAAAAAAATTTATTATTTATTTATAATTAGTTCTTTTTTTTTTTTTTTTTTTTTGATAAATTCTATTGACATATTGTAATAAATCTTTGTGTTTGTTGTAAATCATAACAAAAAAAATAATTACAGGCAGACTTCGGAATCGAACCATTGCTTCAAATGTCTGACTTGTAAAATATATTTGTACTGACCGTCGCAGGTCATTCCTATTTTTGGAATGTTCAGTTCAACCTGTTGAGAAGAAATATTAATAATGATTGTAAAATCAATAAGTGCAAGAAAGAAGAATTTTATGAAAAAGTTTTATTACGAACCGTTGAATGGCAAAGATTTATTTTTTCGTCAAAATTTTCATTGTCGGGCATACGTTGGGCTTCTGTCGTAGGCTGTGGACAAAGAAAATATTTTGATTAGATGTTCTTTAAAAGTTTGAAAATTAAAATAGTATAAATAAGATGTTGAACATATGGAATAAAAACGATACCCGATGAAAAAAGTTTTTGTCTAATTATATATGATCATATATAATTATATATAATCATATATGAGAGCATATATAATCATACATGATTATATATAAGCTCATATATAATTAGATCTGATCATACCTGGTTGTTATAACCCCATATATAATCATATATGATCCCTAGTGGAGAGACGCGATGCCAAAAACGACCCGTCGCTCTGAACGCGGAGACGGGGTCGTTTTTTCGAAAAAAACGACCCGAGTCCAGAACGTGAGATAAGCAACGCTAGATGAAAAAATGTAGATTTAGATGTACTTTATTAATATAAGAATTATTTTTAGGGGATTTAGAAAAGGTTTGCTATTATTTAATGAACAATTAATATCATTAATAAGAATAAATAAAGAAAAATACTAAAGAAAAAATTTTTACGGGGAAATGTATAGTATGTGTTTGCTTAAACCGCAGAAGAGAGGAATAGGCTTCTTACCGACTGCAAAATTATAAGTTGAAAATTAAAGAGATGTCGCTACATGAATGTTTTTAATTTTTGAAAACGAAGTCAGATCCGTAAGATTGAGGACGCATTTTAATTAAACTAGCTTTTTCTAAATATTGGATAGAAATTGAAAAATTAAATTACAGAGATTGAAGGTATCAACTCGAAGAAAAAAATCATCCTTTAAAGAATATTTGAACATTCAAAAATCACTGGCATATTTTTTTACTGTACTACAGTAAAAAATGAATGCATAAAAATTTGGAAAAAAGCAACTGGAAATGAAAAGTGTTTAACTTACATGATTTATAATTTGTTGTGAACGTCTCTTTTTACACATTTTTATTGAAGCAATATTATTCCCATACTTATATAAATATCTATATAAATATCTATATAAATATCTTATATAAATATCTATTTAATCTCTTTAAAATACCTGGGCCCTCAGACTAATTACGGGAATTTCCCTGGGCCTTTTGCAAAGATCGAACGAGACACTTAATGACCACACTCGAATTATCTTTTACAATCGTTAAAATTTAAATAAAATTATACTCGATTTTTTATAATTAATAAATATGTAAAGAAAAATTTCTTTACATAACAAAAACTTGTAATCACTTATTTTTCAATACTTTAAAAGAATTTTTTTTCATTATCTTGAATTTAACAAAGTTTAATTTATTAACATATGAAAAACTTGAGATTGAAGACAAAAGACCCAGTTATTGACACTGGTCTAGTTGATTGATACTTGCAAATTTTTCCTAATTAAAAAAATTATCAACAAAATTTTCTCAAAGAACCAATTATCTCAAAGACTATATTTATTAATTTATTTGAATCGATTTGTTTTATTTAATTAAAATAAAATTGCGAGTGTCAATAACTAGCTCAGTGTCAAAATCTGGGTCTTTTATCTTACCTTCATTATCTATTTATTATTATATAAGTAGATATTTATATGAAGCTTAATTAAAACCTTACTAAACCTGTCAACATTGTGTTTTCTTTTCTTAGAAATATTTATTATATTATAATTCATCATAAAAAAATTTTTAAAACTAAGAAATTGAATAATATAAAAGCTTGCAATCAGTTTTTTTTTTCAATATCTTCAAGAAATTTTTTAAATTTTCTTGAATTTAACAAAGTTTAAGTAATTTTTCTAACCATACCATTTTATAAGATCGTGAATAATTAAAATTTTGCAGCAGCAAATTATTTTTTTCAAGCAAAAATTAACTTATACATGATTATCATATTATTTCAGTTTTGTCATTAATAAATAATTGTAAATCAATCAAAATTTAAGGATGCATTTGTCTAAGCTTAGAACAATCTGTTTGTTGCTTTTTTTATAACTCACTAACTCCCTGGTAGCTCTTTTTTGTCAAAATATACGTAGGACGGTAATTCATCCGGTAAAAAAGATAGCACGAAAAATAATGTCAAAAATAAATTTGGTTGTTTCAATGTTTCAATGATCACAAGGATATTGATTGTCAATTCCGTAAAATATGTAGAAATTGTATTTAAAATAATAGTATAAAAAAAGATATCCAGTGAGAACAAATTGTTTTCGAGTATGATACGAGATTTTATGAAGATTAATAATCTTAAGCTAAGAATACGATTTTAGAGAAAATGATGTTCTTGAATGAAGAGAATAAAATTTTGAGCCTAGAAATTAGTCATTCTTCAAAAAAAAAAAAAAAATTTAATTTCTCTGTCTTCGTCGTATATTTCAGAAATATTTTAGGTGGATTTCAGAAATCCCAGAAATGTTCAATCAGCAAGGCTATTTCAGTCTCAAACAAATAACCATTCAAAAAATTCGATCTCATAAGATAATTATTAATTTCCGCAGGTATTTACAAACAAAATAATTAAATCGGTATTTGCAGACGTTTCAAAAATTGAAAATTTTCACGCAAAAAGTTGGGCTTTGCGTTCTGAAATAAATGAATTAAACGGCAAATGTTTAATTCAAGCCGAAATAATAAAATCATTGAAAGATTCCATCGACGATTTGGAGAAAAATAATGGCTTAAACAATTTAGTGGAGGATTTGCAACAACAAGTAATGACTACAAATTCTAATGTCTGCGAGATGATGGAGTCGCATACTAGTGAAGAACTACCGAGTTATGACTTACCGGCTCCAGACCCGAAAACAAACGAGGTAACTACTTAACGATAAAAATACGATTGTAAAGGTAAAACTTTCAATATCAATGACATTTTTCGAAAATATTTGAATGATCGGATTTTATTTACAGATAAAAGTACTACCAAATTTGAAAGTTAGCACTAGCAACTTCGCCAAAGCCATATGCCGGGAAGAAATGTCAAAAAGAGCCAAATTGCTAGTAAAAATGAGGTGGCCTGATAAGGGTATAAGATTGCAGTTGGGCTTTGATAAAAGCGCCCCAGGTGTAAAAATCCTAATAAGTGATCAGGAAGTCACAGAAATACGAGGTAAATCTTTGAATTTTTTGTCACAAATCTAAACCAAGATTATAATTAAAATTAATAAACACAATATTTATTCTAATTTTTACAGATTTATGTTTGAAATGTGAAAAAATGCGAAACAATGTATTGAAAGAAGGTGACAAGAGATACCCCAAACTGAAACAAATAAAAAAGTGGATTAGCGGTACTCTAATCGACGAATGTCATCGAGAATAAGATAAATTCAAATTAAAGAAAGCAAAAATAAAAAAAAAATCATAACTAAAAGCAACCCAGCGAGAGATGTGTAATTAGTCTTTTAGATAGAATAATATATTTTATTACATAGAGTATTTGTTGAATATTTACGTATAATATTTTATAACTGTTGAACAAATAGAAAATAAAAATTAATCTTTGACTTACCTATTATTTGTTTGCTGATGTTTTTATTTCTTCGACGTACTAGTATAATTTTCCACTTCTATAAGAATTAATGATCAACTTAAAACCTTTTAAAACGGATGATTTTTCAAATTCTTAGAAGAAATAAATTATTTTTATTCACTTTTTTATGTTTTAAGAAAAAATTTTATAAATTAAATGATAAAAAAATTACTAAAAAGGAAGCAATAAATTTAAGTTTAATACAATGGATGTAAAAATTGAAAATCATCGTTTTATAAAACTTAACTCGATTTATAAAATTATATGGGAATGTTAATCTTTCCACTACAAATATGTAAATAAATTAGCATGAATACCAGAACATTAAAAATTTCGTTAATAAACGCATAAAATAATTTTTTTGGCAAACATCCGACTGAAATCACTCGCACTTCAATTTTTTGTAATTTTCAATGCAAACTTGTCAGCGGATGTTTTCTTTTTTTGAAGTACTAGCACAATTTTCCACTTCTTTAAAATTGACAACCAATCTAAATCCTTACAAAACAAAAAATTTTCAAAATTTTTGAATGAAATAAATTATTATTTCACTTTATTAATGCTCCAAATAAAATTGTCTTAACATTTATTTAAAAAAAAAAATTATTCTGAAGAAAGTAATACATTTACATTTGATTTAATTAATGTAAAAATTAAAAATTTTATTATATTTATATAAGTATGGGAATAATATTGCTTCAATAAAAATGTGTAAAAAGAGACGTTCACAACAAATTATAAATCATTTAAGTAAACATTTTTGATTTTCCAGTTGCTTTTTTCCAAATTTTTATGCATTCATTTTTTACTGTAGTACAGTAAAAAAATATGCCTGTGATTTTTGAATGTTCAAATATTATTTAAAGGATGATTTTTTTCTTCGAGTTGATACCTTCAATTTCTGTAATTTAATTTTTCAATTTCTATCCAATATTTAGAAAAAGCTAGTTTAATTAAAATGCGTCCTCAATCTTACGGATCTGACTTCGTTTTCAAAAATTAAAAACATTCATGTAGCGACATCTCTTTAATTTTCAACTTATAATTTTGCAGTCGGTAAGAAGCCTATTCCTCTCTTCTGCGGTTTAAGCAAACACATACTATACATTTCCCCGTAAAAATTTTTTCTTTAGTATTTTTCTTTATTTATTCTTATTAATCATATTAATTGTTCATTAAATAATAGCAAACCTTTCCTAAATTCCCTAAAAATAATTCTTTTATTGATAAAGTACATCTACATTTTTTCATCTAGCGTTGCTTATCTCACGTTCTGGACTCGGGTCGTTTTTTTCGAAAAAACGACCCCGTCTCCGCGTTCAGAGCGACGGGTCGTTTTTGGCATCGCGTCTCTCCACTTGGGGCAAGTCCATATATGATCCGATCTGATCATATATAAGTCTATATATAATTAGATCTGATTATATATGTCTATATATAATTTGATCTGATCATACCTAGCTGTGATAACCCCATATATAACCATTTATGTCTATGTATAATGAGATATGATCATACCTGGCTGTTATAACTCCATATATAATCATGTATAAGTCTTTATATGATCAGATCTGATTATATATAAGTCTACATATAATTAGATATGATCATACCCGGCTATTATAGCTCCATTTATAGATATATATAAGTCTATACATAATCAGATCTGATAATATTTATAATTCCCAAATTTTCAAATAACTTTAATACTACATGAATAAATAACTGAAAATTACATTTCATGATAAATTGATAAATCATACACAAAAGTGTTACGTCCAAATCGTTGAACGTAAATTATTAAATTTATTTTGATCCTGGTATTTTTCAACCACCAGATCGGGAACCCAGAAGTATTATGAAAGGATATTGGTTTATTGTTTTTAAGTAAATTATTTCGCTTCAAATTTATGTTATTCAATATATTAAAAATTAATATAAGTTACAAAATTTACAAAAGTTACACTAGTTACAAAGGTTACAAAAGTTAAATGTTTAATTCTTACAAAAATTCTATTGTTTCAGATTTATATTAATAATTCAGAATCGAACACATTTGAAACTACAATAAATTCAAACACATACCTTTATTGCTACGTTGACACTTGTGGTTCTTTGATTAATTAATATTTTGTTATTTAACGAGGTTAATTATTTATTTAATTTTACTGAAGCCTGACATTTATGCCGTGGTCGAGTCGCGCATGCGCTTTACGACGGGGAGCCGAAAAAATGTATTCATGCACTGACAATGAGACACGAGGCGGCAGAAAGTCCGAAAGTCGGTAGTCGCGCACACTCTATTACTTATGTTTACAAGCCTAACCTTACTTGTGATTGTTATGAATGTATCTGTCTTGTTATGTGTCAATGATTTGAGGTTGAAACTAAGTTAATTACAGAAAATGAATATTTATTTTAATGAAATGAGACTTGTTAAATATTTAAATTACAAATAAAAAAAAAATATATTTTATTCTGATAGATTTTCTCAAATAAATAAATAAATTCATTATTGAACAAGTAATTATTTTAAAAAATACACAAACAGATTTTTTTAAAAATTTTTTTTTCTATGCATTTCACGATTATGAATTCATTTTTGTGTTTTTTTTTTTTTTATTTTTAATATCAGAATTAATTTATAATATATTTAAAACTTTAAAATTATTGAATTAAATTAAAATCTTTTCTTAAAAGAAAGTAGTAATATGATGGCTTCGCCTCGGGCATACATGGCGCGCAGTGCAGGAATCTCAACTTTCTGCTTATGTAGTGTAATGTACTATTTTCATCGGGTACTTACCTCTCCTCCAGTTACAAATAGTTGCAAGAAAATATCGTCCTTCAAGTTTTCGATAATATCTTCTGGGTAATCTGGTACATAATCACAGAACGTCCGTCCATGACACTCAGGAGGCATCACCGGTACAAATGTCTTATCATGAGTTTTATTTTTAATTTTGGTTTCATGGAATATACTAAATATTAATTTTTCTGGGAAAACAACCTTTTGGGTATCGAGATCTTTTCGTTCTGGAAAAATAAGAAACCAAAGATCAGAATTTATTTTCTAGTCAAAGAACATAATCATTACAAAGGTAGTTTTATCTAAACAATAATAATTCGTGGGGTGGAAAAATTTATTTATCAATTCAAAGAACATTTGAGATAAATATTTATCACAATTGCAAATTCCTAGATAGAATAAATATAACCCAATTCAAAATTAATTTAAATTTATCACAATTGAATAATCAAAATACTCTGAATAGCCACTTAACTATATAACAATAATAATAAGGTTTACTCACTTTTATCGCGATCTTTCCAATGTTCAAAATTCTCCTTATCAAAGAAACTTATCAACTCATTTGGATAATTATGCGATTTATTTTTAATATTATCGCTGCTATTATTGTTGTTGTTATTGTTTCCTCTGTAATGAAATTGATTAAGTCGATTGCGCGCAATCTGCCTTGAATTCCCAATGGGTTGTTCACTTGCCTGTTTATTTTCTGTCTCTACGAGCTTATCACCAACGCGATTACCCACGTCCTCACTCGAATTTTTATTCTCTTGATCGACAGACGTTACCTCTCTAACAAGACCACTTTTCTCAAGACTCTGAAAAGTGATAGTACGTCCAATAGTTTGCAACTGATTTGGATAGCCCCTGATCATTCTGTTTACCTGAAAAAATTCATTATTATTCACATTTATCGGCACCCCCTTATCACAACTATTATTATTGTCACCATCGGAATTTGACGAATGCTTTTATTATTAATTTATAAATAATTCATAGTATTTTTTCATCTCAAGAATAATTGTATCATTTATTGCAAAGTCGCCATTTCTCTTATCATATCGCTTTTCATAAATCAAAGAAACAGAATTAAAAATATTCATCAAATCCAATTACCCGATCGTGCATATTTTTCTTTTCATCGGTACTGACATTTATGGCCTTATAACGGTACAATCTAGTGGCATACATTCTCATCAATTCCTTTCGAATTAAAGAGACACATCTAAAAAATAGTCCAATTAAAAAATCTCTTGCGCCAAATAAATTGAACAATCATTCCCGCAATATATCATCTATTGTATCTCTTACATAACATGAAATCAAACTCCTAACAATCGATAAATCAATAGATTGAAGAGAAATTATAAATTAATGTTGATTAATTTCATTTTTATCAAGTCAAATATTTGGCTAGATCGATAAAAGAAATTTTGCAATTGTTTCCAAGTTTATCGACTCACAGCGTCTATGTGAAACGGAATCTTTTTTTACACGCACAATAGACCTATATTTAATGATCGAAAAAGTGTGAAATAGTCAGTAATGTTTACTCATCTAAATACATAAAACGCACCTGCCTCTTATCAGTCAAATCTAACTATTCATTACCGATATAAATTAGATGTTGTCAATTGAAATTAAACACAATTAATCTAATAATAATTCATTATGTTTATTTTTTCAATAACGTCTTTGTAGTATTCCTTTTCTTCAATTAAAAATATCTCTAACTTTGGATCATTTCTTCTGCAGAGGGTTCAGCGCAGCGAACCACGATCTAAATTTAGATTAAATTAAATTTAAATAATCTCGGAGACAGTACGCAATTTTATAAAAAAAGTATCCTATTTTATACCTCTAATTGTTCAAAAATATAAATAAGTAGTATAAAAGCCGAACGAACAGTATTTCTTCTACCAAATTGGAATATAAATGCATTTATTTATATTTTCATAAATGGAAGCTTTCTATTAATTTTATTATAGCATAAAGCTGCCTTCATAATAAGTTAGTAATGCGCTACTAGATCATGCTTTAGTGTCATCGTCATTAAGAATAACTAAGCATCCAATTTTCTATGTTGTCACGCTTTGAACTTTTTTCACCTGTTATTTCAATAAAAATTGAAGCAAAACTTTTGTATATAAAAATTCAGCTTTCTTATCTTTACGTCCACGAAACTTGAAGAGGAGTCAATGTATTGGCTTCATTTTTTTACACATTGTTGCATTTTAATAGAAGAAATCTCAAGCGTTTTACGAAATTTGTATAAAAACAATTAAAAAAATTTATTTTTTTCATTAGTAACTAATTACTGCGCACTAACTGAGAATTAAAATCAAAATTAAAAAGTGTATTTTGAACTTTTATTAAAAAATAACAACTCCTGGCGTTCGGCAGAACCGAACCTAGCTCCTTACTAGTACGTGAAAGATGATTGAAATTGATTTAAAATAGACAACAATGAAATCAATTGAATTTTGTCATTTCTTTGGTACCAACTAGTTAGTTAATAAAAAATAATTACCTCAAGAACACAAAAAATAAATAACAAAGTTCGTGACAGCATCATTTAAATAAACAAATATCGAATGAATAAATTAATAATTATAAAAAAATGGAGTATTTATATGAACATCTTACTTTATATAAATATTAAATAATAATTCATTTATCACGTCAATTGATTAATTAATTTAAATAATAATGAATGGTAATCATGAGACAGATGATACGCACGCTTTCGCGCTTACTCGGTTACTGCTCAGACGCTCATAAGATCTTCGTATATATAATATACCGATTTCGTCTGTTATATATGGGCTCTTCTTTATATATTATATTATATTATATGATATGATACTTGAAATTATACATATTATCCATCTAAGCTTATAAAATGTAAAAAATGACAAAGTTTAAATTATGTCTGTGTAACATTTGCGCAGTATTAGCTCTGCAAAGCTTACTCCTCTTTAACAATAAATAGACTATTAATATTGGGCGGAAATTATATTTTGTAGTTTTATTACTTACGTAAATTAAATGTACATATTTGTAAATTTATAATTAGATATATAAATAGGCGCGCAGTAGCCTATCGGATCCGGCCCTTGCTACCAAAGCATAGGACCGGGTTCGAATCCGGCGTACACCAATGAATATTTTCAATATTTAAGTGTATTATTCTGCTCAGCCCAAGAAATACAAACGAGTTCCAATCTTAAAAGTTTACCCCCTACCGTAATAGTCGCTCATGACCTTAGTAGTTTATGCGACTTTAAAACAAATAAAAAAAAAAAAAAAAATAATAATAA